CCAACTCCAATGGGTGTGCTGCTCTCCATGTGCTTTCCTTTGGAAACTCATCCCTGTGTTGTTTGCCTATCAAGCAATCCTCACACAACCTTGTAGGAGACTCGAGCTGAGGAAGTCCCTTTACCATTTTCTTTTGCTGCAACGTGTTGAGCCCTCTAAAACTCAAGTGTCCATACCTGCTGTGCCACAACCATGCAGTGTCTTGGGTGGTAGAAGCAAAACAGGTTTGGACTTGAGTTTGACTTTGTGTGTGAAGAGAGAACATCCTGTTTGATGACATTTGTGCTGAAATAATGAGACCTTTTGTTGGATGAATAATCTTACACTTGTTTTGTTGAATGAGTATTGTGAGCCCCTTTTCTTGTAATTGACCAATGCTTATGAGATTACTCTTCAGCCCCGGTACATAGAAAACTCCAGTGATGGTTTGCATACGATCATTCAGTTGAATTCTGATGTTGCCCTTCCCTGTCACAGCAAGACTTGTGTCATTTCCCAGCTTGACTTGTTCATCAATCTCAAAAAACAATCCTTTTTGTTTCCACACATATGATTACTGCACCCTGAATCCAAATACCAAATGTCAAATTGCTTAGATTCCTTGGACTCCATGTAAGCCATCAGCAACATTTCTTCTTCAGCTTCTGTGAAATTCGACCTATGCTCTTTCTCCTTTTGAGGACATTCGTATCGAAAATGTCCCAATTCATGACAATGATAGCATTCAACTGTTGACTTGTCAAAATAACTCGATCTGCTCCTACCTCGTCCACGACCTCCACGCCCCCTTCCTATTCCTCCTGAGGTTTCTTCATGAACAATCTGTAGGGCTTGTTCCTCCACTACCACATGGCAGTTCATACGTTGTTCATGAACCAACAAGCTGCTTTGAAGTGCATCAATTGAGAGATTATCTATGTCATTTGATTCCTCTATGGAACAAACAACATAGTCAAACTTGGCAGTCATTGAACGAAGAATCTTTTCTATGACAGTTACATCATCCATCTTTCCACCATGCATACGCATCTTATTGGCCACTGTGAGAGTTTTAGCAAAATACTCATTCACAGATTCTCCTCCCTTCATGTGCAACATCTCAAACTCCTTCCGAAGGGCCTGAAGTTGTGCTCTCTTTACCTTCTCTGTTCCCTGATATTTCTGCTTCAATGAGTCCCATATATCCTTAGCACTATTCTTATTTAGAATAGTTTCAAGAATGGAACGGTCAATAGATTGAAACAGATAATTCTTGGCCTTTAGATCCTTGAGTTTCTGATCCTCCACCTCTTTAGCTTGCGCAGCAGATCCTCCCTCTGCAAGCTTTGAAACTCCATGCTCCACTAAATGCCAATACTCGTTTGATCTCAGAAAGTTTTCCATCATCATGCTCCAGTGGTCGTAATGACCATCAAGCCGAGGAATTGCTGGTTGAACAAAGTTACTTTCTGTCGTCATGGCTACTTGCTACTACAAGAAATCAAGCTGCTGCTTCAATCGTTATGAACAGGCCCTGAGTGGGCTCTGATACCACTTGTTAACGTAATAAGAACTCTTTACTGATGGACTTTGAAAGTGGGAGAATTGTGTGTATTATTGAATAGCAAACAATGGTTATTATATAACCTTACAAAGCAAGATAAACCAAACAGCAACCCACGTTGTAACAGACCTAAACGTGGTAAAAGACTAAGTCATATAACAAAAGAATCCCTCAACAATCAGGATTGTTAAGCAAGTGGCAACAACCTGCTTATCTAATCCTAGAAAATAGAACAACTTAAACAACGGCTAGTTCGTTCAACAGAAAACGCTTTGTTGGGTTACACAACCCCCTCCCTCTCTGGTCGGTGTTCTTGCGATGGATGGCCTCCCTGGCCCTCCATAATTCATGGTGTTTTTGCTCTTCACATTTCTTCTTTGTCTGGGGCCTTGCTTTTTCCCCTGCTGCTGGACTTTTGTCCTTCTGAAGTTATTGTGATTGTCTTATCTTTTAAAGTTCTTCTGTTTCCTTGTGCTGTCCTGGTGGATGCTTCATCCCCAGATGTATGTGGTTCTGGCCCTCTCCAGGTTTGCTAATGAAAGCTCCGTGTTGACAAAAAAAAAAAAAAATCTATATAAAGAGTTTGGAATTTTCCTGTGCTTTGGCAGTTTGGATACGTGATTGAATTGGTCAATCTAGTCATCCTGTCAGCTTTTTGTTTTTTTTCCTTCTGATATATACTAATTTTTTCCGATTATTAATTTATTACTGATAATTTCTAGAAATTGCTAAACTATAAGGCATATTCAAGATGAAAAAAGCTTGGCTCCTTAAAATTGAGCAGGAATTCCTCCTTACAACCAATGTGTTTTTGACACGTACCAAATTATTTTAATTTTTCTTTTCTTTTTTGTTGAAACTTTGTAAATGTTTTTGGAATTTGATAAGTGTCAAAACCGCATTGATTTTAAGGAGGACCTCCGCCTTAATCTTAAAGAGCCAAGTCATGCTCATTTGATATTTGGTTGTAATAATGGGTTGATCCATGATGATCGCAATATTTAATTTTAGAGTCATTATTGCTTAGTTGGACAATCACTTTTGGTATAAATAAAAAGGACAATCACTTGTTTTTTTTTTGGTCCGTTTATTAGATTGTTATTCTGAAATAAGTTTATATATTTTTTCATTCAATTAAAGTTGATTTGTTTTATTTTTTTAGGAACTATTGTGAATTTTGCACTCAACAACAACATGTTAAAAATTTGACAAAGCCAACCAAGGCTCAGAAGGCTCACTTGACTCTTCTTAACTTTCAAATTTTGTCATAATCCCATATTTGTATTTTGATTTTTACTTATTATATCTTAGTTTTTACCTTTATAATGTACAAAACCAAAAACAATGAACCTTTACCAATTATGTTTTGAGTAAACACGTTGGCTTGACCATGCAACCAGGGACGGACTCAGGATTTCAAACTTGACTAGACTAAATTTAACTTACATATAAACATACTAAGTAGATAGAAAACTCGACCGTATAATGTAATTTCATTTATAACAACAAATAATAATACACCTAGTCAAAAGGGGATATAAACAATTTCTTCTACTTTTCTTTCTTATTTTCTGCTGGTTGTGCACTCTATTTTTTCCCTATGTGTAGAGATGTGCAGCTTTCCTTTTCTCCATTATATATTATCCATGTGCACTGCAAGGAATTTCTTAGGATAGTACTCTCACACTCTTCTGTAGTTGTAGAGAACTTGAGATTATTGTGTTGAACCTCATCGTGCCCCTTTCTTCAAGTTCATTGACATTATGATTTTTGTAGTTTTTCAAAATGCCAATAGTTGGAAGTTTAGGTGCTGAGATCAAATGAATTGACCAGTCAAGTCCGCCTCATAATTCACGAGACTATCCAAAGCGCGTATTGAGAATCACATGAGAAGACACCAATATCAATTTCAATCACATTCCAGCTGACTAATTAAAGTTTATGAGCGTCATTCATATTTAACAGTTTGGTTTTGAAAATTGAAATCTCCATCTTTGGTCATGGTAAACGTTCGATTAGTTTCATTGGGTTGTATGGCTCGATACAAATTATGAAAAACGAAAATGAGCATAATCAAAGTAGGTCGTCCACTACTAATTACACATTGTCTTTTGAATTAAAACATGACACTATTTATCATCGTTTCACCTAAAAAAAACATGACACTATGTAAAGAATTCATTAAGCCTAACATCACCCAAATAATGCATCTTTTTATCCTATAAGCTAGATTGCTTTTGTTTTTAACACATAAAACTTGACTAAAATATCAGAACTTACTTTGCACTAACTACAAATTTTATTGAGATATTTAGTCATATACCCATTCTTAGCACTAAAACTATAAATAAACCCTACACCATTTAATTTTTATAAACAAACTCAAAAAATACCCAAAAAATAATAGCTGACCCTATTGAATTTAATTTTGATTATTAAATTACTTTGATGCCCTATTGAGTGTTTTGGGCTTTTTTATGAGGTTTTGGGGTTGAGTTTGTTTTAAGAAATCAATGGTAGTTTTGTAATTTAAAAGAAGTTAAAAACCTTTTTATTATGTTGTAAATGGGTTTTGGGTGTGTTTCTAAAGTTCATTTCATATAGGATTTTTTTTATAATTTAGGCTCCTATATTAGATATAATAGTGAATCTCCCAATTTTATTCTCCAACTAATTGTTGCAACACGTTTTAGAGCCCCAAAAAACATGAGCTGTTAGGAATGAAAACAAGCCAAACAAGTTTGAGGGCACCCCTCCCCTCTTGGGATATTGTTTTTATACCTAAGTTAAGATTTTAAGAATTAAGTGTATTGAACTTATAATTTTTATTTTTATTTTGATACAGTGATATTCTAAATTATTCTAATTTATCTACAAAGAGGGAAATTCGAAATCGGGTAGAAAGAGACACAAAGAGCATTGACCAATTCCTTCATAAAAAAAAAAAAGAAAAAAAAAAAGAGTATTGACCAATTCCTTCGACAACAACAAAAAAACATTGCACTGACCAATTCCAAAGTGGTATTTGTCTGTTTCTATACTGCCACATTAGTTTTGCTTGTACTTCGGGTTCCCCTTAATCTTGGTACAGTCTACCACTTGAGCTTGACTAGTAGAGAGACTTTGTGCACACCTCATGTATCATGATGCACTAGCAGAAATTTTTGCCCAGCGAGGTGACCATACCCCATCTAACACTCCATGCTGTCTCTGTTTCAACTATATGATAAATTAATTGCTATATATACCCATATCCTCAACTTCATTATGCATCATCTATCTATCTATCTATCTCTCTCTCTCTCATAAAAATGTTGAACTCTTTCCTTTCTCTGTTCAATAGGATCAAAACAATAGATGCCATGCTAGAACTAGCAAATTAATTGCTATATATACCCATATCCTCAACTTCATTATGCATCATCTATCTATCTATCTATCTCTCTCTCTCATAAAAATGTTGAACTCTTTCCTTTCTCTGTTCAATAGGATCAAAACAATAGATGCCATGCTAGAACTAGAGAAACCCAATGTAAAAATTTTTATATACAGAGATGACTTAAGTAAAAAGCCATTTTCAAAGCAGCAAAAGATGAATGGCAGTACTTGCTTAGAAAGTTCAGAGCCACTGATCAAGAGGGAATTGGAAGATGGGAAACTTTGTGGGGGGGGATCAAGCTATGGCAGTGCAGCTGAGGAGAAAGGGGAAGGGATCAGAGTAAAGATTAAGATGACGAGGCAAGAAGCGGCACAAATGCTTTCCAAGTGCAAAAATGGAGGGGTTCTCGAATTCAAGGATGTAACTCTTGCGCTCGCGCATATTCCAACGGGTCGTGTTAGTGTTGAACCGTCACCAGCCACTTGCTGTGGTGCTGGTCCAGCAGTTCTGAAGACCATCCCTGAAGAATACTGACAGTCAGTTCAAATATTTTTACATGATTGGGAGTATTGGTTAATTTTTTTTGGCCTTCAGTATGTAGTACTAGCAAATTAGCATGTGAAATTTCACTTGAAATATGTAATTTGTAATTACCTGATGATTATGTTCTGATATGCTGCACTTGAAAGTTATAATTTACTCAATTACAGTATGAAGTTCCTTTCTATCGTTTATATAGTTTACATAGGTCTGTCCTCAGATATACATAGGCCTATTTGACTAAGTCCACAACAGAAGATATAAATTCAATTGCATGCAGGCTTAAACTGTAATTTCCACTCTCAAAATTGTTTAGAAAGGGTGTTGGGTTTTCTTTGTTTTTGAGAGTTTTCTATCGCAAAACGTCTCTGTGATACACGAAACTGTCACTTGTGGTCCTTAGGTTTTTTTTTCTTCTGTTATAGATGGTCCTGCACGTTAACCTCCCTACATCTAATTGGTCTCTACCGCTACACGTACTCCAGGTCACTTGAGCTAAGGATGATGTCAACATGTTAGAAGTTTGTGGGTTGAAATGGGCTGCAAGTCTCTGCACGGAGTCAATGCATGTGGCAAAATGGTAATTAAACACTTGTGAGGCACACCATATCATGTTTCATTAGTCATAAGCTGGTTCTTAGACTAACCATCCATAAATAAATGAACCCCCACATGCAGTTAGGTGCTCACTTCAACTTTGGGGACCCCTACTATATATATATTAAGTTTGATGGAGTATCTAAATATATATACCTTTTTACTTTTTTTCTTTTCTTTTTTTTAACATCTAATTTCCACTAGTTCTTTTTGGAATGATGATTGAAAGGTAGCAAATACCTCACAGATTTCTGAATTTCACTGGCTCTTAACAGAATATATACATGGGAAAATATATGAGATTTTATTGAATCAAACTCTCTGGATTTAAATTTAACGAGTACGTATAAGAAAACTTTGGAAGATGCTAGCTAAACACATCAACAATCTTGAGAAAAGGAACCCCCAAAAAAAAGGTATGTTTCTTCGCAAACCGACTTGGACTTGGCAACTTCAACTTGGACCATAAAGATTTGAAGAGAATTAAAAAGCCACTTTTCAACTAGAATCTGTACGGACATGTTATCTACTTGCATGGACAAATGCCAAATACATGCATATATTCTTAAGCATCATAAAATTGGTTAATTTTGAAGGTAAATAAGAAATTAATTAGTACCCAAAGATTCAAATTTGGTCATATTATACAGTCTTAAATTATCTGGTATAGCTTTGTTGGTTGAGCTTCTTCCATCTCCATTCATGTGGGCGGATGTTCGAAACCCCAAATACCTAATCAATTTTGTTATAAAAAGAGAACGCTCATCAGTTTTGTCCAATTTTTTGATGATATAACCAAACATGCAAACTTAGTTTGTTGCTTACTCAAATATGTGAACTGATCAGGGTGGGTGTTTCATCCTTTTTGGAGCATGGCCTTGTTTTTGAAATCAAATGCAACATTTCCGGGCAAGGCACCAACCTCAAGCTCTCCTCTATTGACCATCAATCAATTGAGGCATCACCATCAGGGTGAGTTCTTAACATCAGTCTCCCGTTGTTATATCTGGTTATATTTCTGATAATTGTAATATTTTTTTTCTTTTTTTTGTCTCTAAAATTCGGGTCATTAAATTGTTTTCCTTAGAAAATTCCATTTCTTTTTTTTCTCAAAAATTGTTGGAATCTCAGGCAATTTATAGTCTAATTCACCAATGACCTAAATTGAACATGAGTTCGTAATACTTGCTGATTTAATGAGTCAAATCTTCCTATGCAAGGAAATTTGGCTCAAAGATTTCCACAGATTCTATTATGTAGTCTAACTTTTATGTTATTTTCGAAAAAAATAATAATAATCCCCCCACACTAAATTGAACATGAGTTCGTAATACTTGCTGATTTAATGAGTCAAATCTTCCTATGCAAGGAAATTTGGCTCAAAGATTTCCACAGATTCTATTATGTAGTCTAACTTTTATGTTATTTTCGAAAAAAATAATAATAATCCCCCCACCTTTTAATAATTGCTTCATGAACTTTCCATGTTTCAAATTTATTTATATTGATTTACTTGGCTGTCCTGAGCATTTCAGTTACTAATTCTTTGGGGGTCTTCAAAGCAAATACTGTTTTTGTTCTGGATGTAGATTTTCTTAAATTGTTAGCTGTGTTTCAGGAATTCACATCGAGTTGCATCACTCCGGCAACTTTCGAAAATTTTGCTCAATTTAATAATGTGCATCTTCCCCTTCGTTCTAGGAAGCCTTTTACCAAAAAGGTGCATGTCCTCGGCACCATCTATTTGTTCTTGTACCATTTACAGTGAGAAGGGCCTGTTCTAATGATTGGAGTTAATTTCAGGATGCCGTAGCTTTTAATGAGTGGAGATTTTCCAAGTTAAAAGGAATACTACAAGGACAGAAACATCAAAGTGGAAAATGAAGCTTTTGATCGATACATGCAGAATGTGACCCTATTAGAGGAAGTGTTTTCTGTGAAATCTATCATGGAGGAGTCCATTGGGGATGAAGCTGAACTCAAATCCATTTCAACCGATAAACCACTACTGCTACTACAGAAGAAGACACTGAGGCTATGGTCTCAGGGTTGAAGTTGGAAGTTGAAGAGATCAAATCCAATGAGAACCAATAACTTCAGAAAGAGGATACAGCAAGTTGTTGATGAGGGATTAAAGACTTAAAAAACGTGAGTTAGATGATGGGGAGAAGGAACCAAGTGTGGGAGCTGAATTGGATCAGGGGCTCAAAGAAGGGGGAAAATGGCGGGCCGAAAGGGCTTCTGCTTTAGGCGATCTCATCGATATGCTGAACAAGGCCCGAAATGAGGAGGATCTGAAGTTGTGCTTGGAGATGAAATCTCAGCTCTTCAAGGAACATAAATTGACTAGCACATCAAAATCTGAAGAGAAACAGGCTACAAAGAATGATTTGGAACCCCCAAAAAGAGTCGAATTATTCATTTCCCAAAGTCGTTAGCACTACCGAAATCAATCAAGAAACTCTCAATATCGTCTACACTCACTTCTCTTCCCTTGCGCATATGCAAGGTAGAGGATCTATGATTTGAGGGAGGTGTCATAGATTAATGTTGTTTCTTCCTGGAGTTTCCTTTCTAGTCAATAATAAATCAAAGGATGCTTAGAAGTTGCTTCAAATTTGCATTTTCAATTTGGATCCAACAATGGTAACTGATTTTTCTTGTTTTCTTTCTTGCCCGACACAAATGTATCATTGTATGGGTCAATTTCATGCTCAAAATACAACCAATGTTTTGTCATATTATCTGTCCATGTGAATAAAATGTCTGAGCGTAAATGGAAACATGTGGCCGGGTTCATGGCCAACATGGTCCTAGACATAACACATCTTGGTTCTTGGACTCACCTGTGCACCTAATTAGTTTAATCTCCTTCATTTCATGCCATACAATCCAAAAAACTCCAACCAAGTTCAAATATCTACTCTCTTATCCCTTTCCTACTTTTTTTCTTTTTCCTTTTCTCTTTTGAGATTTAAATATAACTAAAATCTCTCTTACATTGGCACCTGATATTTTTCTCATCACCATATATTTCCAAGTAAGTTTCTAAGTTAAGCAAACTTAAAATAGCACATGGTCACCCTTCCCCTTCCCCACTCAGTGGAGCTATCACATGCAACCAACTATAGCTGCTACAGAGGAGCTATCTGCCCCTCCAGAAAGGGGAAGCAGAAAACCAGAAGCTCCACTTCTTCTTAAATAGTCCCATAACCAGCAACCAGGACCAAACGCTATTTCCTCCTCAGGAGAGTGATACTTAATCTGCAGATCATAAATTATATTCATTTATAAATGTGAATGTTTGATTAATTAAAGCAATGTTTGATAAATAATGTCAAAAGGACAAAGCTTATCCACATAACTGGAAACTCCACCAAAGAAAGCATATTAAAGCATATCACTTTTGTTATATTGTAAGATAAGGTCTGAAACACACACAGATGTAAAACAGAAATATTTGTAGGCAATCTCTTGATGAACCAAGACTGGAAAGCCAAAGGCTTTTCTTCAACTTTTTAAAAAACTCCTATCCCAACTACTTTAGTTGGTTTTTTCTAGAACTGGATCTAACCTTTAGCGGACTAGAAAGGCACATTTTCAGATTAAAAGACTGACAAAGGTTGTATCGCGCCTCCACAAAAGGAACCCTGGTTTTGCAGCTTGCTTGCTCTTGGAAGCTACTTATAGATCCTCTAAGACTAGCAACCTGCCATTACGCCAGAAGCAAAAGTAGTAAAGTAATAAATTATACTTGTAAGAAATTCAAGGAGTTGTTATTTTGTCGTATAAAAGTCACTGCAATTTAATGTAGAGTCTAAATGAAACAAGCAGACACATACAAGCAGTGAAAAGAATCGCATACCGCTTCTAAGTCAATTTGGGCAATTACAACCTCAACATCCTTCAGCGAAAATTGTGAGCCTTGAGCGACTAGATCTCCATTTACAACGACAGAAGCGCAACCATCTGCGACAAATTACTCATAGTTCAACAAATAGATACATTATTCATCACATAACAATAATTAAAGATCAAGTTTTATATAACACTAAAAGGAGATTCCATAAGAGATAGACCCAAAATACCACCAACGAAACAGTATTTTGTCCTAACTTAAAATATGCAGCACTGACAAGTATATTATCCTAAGAAAATTTGCATAGAACCACTGAAGAAAAAATAATGTCATGCACCGTAGTATAGGCGACCACCATCACACCCCTGGTGATTGCTGTACATGTACACCCCTCCCGAGTGTGAGTAGCACCTATAAAAGCACGAAGACGAATATCAAGCTTTCTTAGTTGGTGATGACTTCCACTTGCATTCATAAACACTTCAACCCCATTCAATGCAAGCTCGGCGTGAGGAGGAATGGGAGTAAAAAGCTCTTCACAAATTTCAGCCGCGACAGCTCTAATAAAGGAACAATGCTTAAGATTTAGAAATGCATAAATTCAGATTAGGAGTGAACTTATTATACAAAAAATGCTATGCTGACAGCTGAAAAAAGCTCACAACTCCTGCAAATTTTACTTAGGCAGGCATTTGACCCATCTGCATCAGCTATGGGCTTTCCTGAAGCACATTTCAGATAATGCAGAGGTGGGATCAACCAACGACCACCTCTTGTGCACAAAACAAAGTCCTCTCAAAGTGTTATGATGGCATGATTCTAAAACGTGGACAACTGCGAAGTCCCAACCAAACTTAATAATATGCAGAGTGGACAAAGACCCACCTTACAGGTACGTTGGCAATTAAGGATAAGGTGTTTAAGTATATTGGTGAACAGACACAAAGCGAAGTCTGATAGGCAGTCTACCAATCCAATTCTTTCCGGATGGTATTTAGCAAATGCATCTCTATTTCCAAGAAAATATGATATTAAGCATCCCTTAGCTCTTAAAACTGCTAGTAATTCATAGCAGAATGATAAACAAAACAACCCACATTGATTGAAAAGTGTTCAAAGTCATCTCTCAGTACTTTTAAATTCCACAAAAACGAATAAGGTTTTATCAAAAGGTAGAATTCCTTCATTCAATTTTAAAATCAACAATATGAATCTCCCCCTTCTTGTTCTTCAAGGCCTTGCTTTGTCTGCTCTCCAATCTCTTCTCTTTTTCATAACCCAAAAAAAAATTGAAATGGAATTAGATACTTACATGTAGCACTGATGTAGCACTGATACAAGAATAACAACCTTTCAAAGTAAAGGCTGTGAATGATGACAAGAATAATTCAAGGTGACGTAAGGATACCAAATGGCTTAGCATAGATAAATGCTCAGGCCAAACTGCACTCACATGCAAGTCAAAAAATTCTTCACTCTCCAACTGAACCAGAAAAATATAAGAATTAAGTATGGATATTAAATATATCAACAATAATAAATGATTAAGGCTAATGTCATATACTTACATGTGTGCCATGCTCTGCACAATTTCTCACAGTAATGAGAAAGTGGATGGGATGTCCATCCACCATCCACTTAGGAATGATGAATCTAACCGCATATTTTATTTCTTCATTAGTAACAAGATTAAGTCTCTTAGTAGTGATAGGATTCTGAGCTCTCAATTGACGATGCCACATCACCTCAAATTCAGCTTCATTTGCAAAGAAGCTATCCCAATAACTCTTGTATACATTTATTGCATTCTCCCTTGCAACACCATTGGAACTGTCAAAAAAGAGTCGCACAAACAAAAACCTGGCTCTCATCTTCTCTGTATGTGTCTTCAAGAAAGGGCTATGCAACCATAAAGACAACATGACACTGAAATTAACAAAAATGACCATCTTATCAGACAGTATGTCGTAAAAGTTTCAACATGAAACTAATGCCCTCCAAATCAATAAATAATGGTTTTAGAACTAGAAAAAATAGGTGACTTACGTGACATCGTTGTTCAAGATCCTGCAGAAGAAATCTAGCTCCTTGGGCAGAAATACATCATGAATGGTGTCAAATACATCTTCAAGCATTTCTGTATCAGTGACTCCACATGAAACATTCGGACAGCCTAATACCGCGGTTCCTTTTCTTAACCATATATTATCCAGGGTGACATCCCCATGCATCAATCCAATATAATCACGAATATGAATCATTGACGTGAGAACATCCCTAGAAAAAATGAAAAACAATTTACAAAAATGTCAGCTAGATATGATAAAATCTTTAACATCTATGAAGGGTAGGAAGAAGGGGAGGAATAATTACCTGTAAACTGAACTGAGGAAAGGAATGATATACCCACTTGGATCGGTAAATGGCATTTGGTCCCTCTTCATCATTGCAACCCAAGATGAAAGCGATGACTCTACCGGCTCAGTAAAGACAATCGTAAGGCCATATGAAGTGTGGTATAATGCTCTGACAGATAGCACAAAGCCTGAATTGCAGATGTCTTGAAAACCAAGCCACTTCTGCACTCTTGCATCGGAATTCTTCATATAATGTACAGCAACAGGAAGGCCACAGTAGGTCCCGTGGTATACATGCCGTGGGAGAGTATCACCTTCCTTGCGCTTGAAAATTACGTAAGGCGTAGCAAATAAACCACCATAACTGCCAGGACAAAACCTCTCTTGGTCATGTAGATAGACCCGATTTTGCCCAACCCTAAATGGAGCAGCAGCAAAGTTGGGAGAAATGTCAATCCTTTTGCTCCATTTGCTTGCAGACAGAAGACGGTTAACAACACGCATCATCTGATAATAGAGGCAGTAAGTACAAATCATATAAAGCTAGACAAGTTGAGCAAATATGGATGATTACTATAAGAAAGAATAGATATTAACTGAAAAGTGCAATCAGATATATATTCTGGCCTGCTGTCAAAGCAATGAATGGAATTTGTAACGTCAGGGTCAGAACCTGACTTGAGGATAACTAAGAATCATGACCACAAAATCCAGAGCTGATTGAAAAGTTGTTTGAACATTGAAGGGATCTGTGGCTGGTCAAAATGATGTACATGTTATCTATGAGACTGAAAGTTGTCATCAGGACACCTCAGCTGAGTTACTTTGTAGTGCAATAATCTAACGTATCCTAAAAATCAATAAGTTCATGAACCCAGGCACTTCCTAAAATTGTTCTAAAGGCTTTTTGTCGTCATGGTTCGTTTTGCAATAAATCCTGGAAACAGACCAGTAATAATGGAAGGCACTTCCTAAAATTGTTCTAAAGGCTTTTTGTCGTCATGAACTCAGCTGAGCTTAATTCAAAGAACTTCTTTAACTCTAAAAATGGTATAAATAAAAAAAAAAAGAAGAAAAAAAGGCCATTTAATAAACCCCAATAATTCCATTTTCTTTTCCATTCTTTTCCTCAGCTTTCTCAACACTCAAATAAAATGTTCTTCAAGAAGAGACAACCCTATCTGCCTTAACCTATACATGTATAATTACACACAGATAACAGAGGGAGAGAGAGAGAGAGAGAGAGTACCTGAATAAGGTTTAAGAAGAGGTTACTTTCTCAGATGAAGGAGTGCATAGGAGAGAGAAGATCAGAACGCTGCGTTTTAGAGGCTGGACTCAACCCCAATTGCTCTTTCTGCTCTACTGTCAAGTGATTTTTGTTTTTGTCTGAAATACTGTCAAGTGATAAGTCTCTCTTTTAGTAATGGAAATGAAAGCACAGCAACTTCTCTTCCATAATAGAGGCAGTACGTACCTAAAGACTGAAGCTATAATGCTTTGTTGCCCAACAGTGGAACACAAATTGCTCCCAATTCATACGCAATTAACTGTAATGAATTACAAGATTATTCCATTAAAATTCGGAAGGATTAAACAAATGCATACAAGCCCATAAACAAATGATACGTCGCAGAAAAGAAGACCAAAATCATCTATCATCTAATAATCCTGAATAATGCTTTGTTGCCCAACAGTGGAACACAAATTGCTCCCAATTTGTACGCAATTAACTGTAATGAATTACAAGATTATTCCATTAAAATTCGGATTATTCCATTAATATAAGTTGTCAACCTTTGCAGTCATACTGTTCTCCATTCCCATGGAAAGACCAAACAGTTCAAATGGGTAGATGACTGGGGCACTTATATTATGAATGGAAATCACGGAATTGAAGGGAACTGCAAAGGTCTGAGCTTAATTCAAAGAACTTCTTTAACTCTAAAAATGGTATAAAAAAAAAAGAAGAAAAAAAGGGCCATTTAATAAACCCCAATAATTCCATTTTCTTTTCCATTCTTTTCCTCAGCTTTCTCAACACTCAAATAAAATGTTCTTCAAGAAGAGAAAACCCTATCTGCCTTAACCTATACATGTATAATTACACACAGATAACAGAGGGAGAGAGAGAGAGAGAGAGAGAGAGAGAGAGTACCTGAATAAGGTTTAAGGAGAGGTTACTTTCTCAGATGAAGGAGTGCATAGGAGAGAGAAGATCAGAACGCTGCGTTTTAGAGGCTGGACTCAACCCCAATTGCTCTTTCTGCTCTACTGTCAAGTGATTTTTGTTTTTGTCTGAAATACTGTCAAGTGATAAGTCTCTCTTTTAGTAATGGAAATGAAAGCACAGCAACTTCTCTTCCATAATAGAGGCAGTACGTACCTAAAGACTGAAGCTATAATGCTTTGTTGCCCAACAGTGGAACACAAATTGCTCCCAATTCATACGCAATTAACTGTAATGAATTACAAGATTATTCCATTAAAATTCGGATTATTCCATTAATATAAGTTGTCAACCTTTGCAGTCATACTGTTCTCCATTCCCATGGAAAGACCAAACAGTTCAAATGGGTAGATGACTGGGGCACTTATATTATGAATGGAAATCACGGAATTGAAGGGAACTGCAAAGGTCTGAGCTTAATTCAAAGAACTTCTTTAACTCTAAAAATGGTATTAAAAAAAAAGAAGAAAAAAAGGGCCATTTAATAAACCCCAATAATTCCATTTTCTTTTCCATTCTTTTCCTCAGCTTTCTCAACACTCAAATAAAATGTTCTTCAAGAAGAGAAAACCCTATCTGCCTTAACATATACATGTATAATTACACACACAGATAACAGAGGGAGAGAGAGAGAGAGAGAGAGAGAGAGAGAGTACCTGAATAAGGTTTAAGGAGAGGTTACTTTCTCAGATGAAGGAGTGCATAGGAGAGAGAAGATCAGAACGCTGCGTTTTAGAGGTTGGACTCAACCCCAATTGCTATTTCTGCTCTACTGTCAAGTGATTTTTTTTTTTGGTCTGAAATACTGTCAAGTGATAAGTCTCTCTTTTAGTAATGGAAATGAAAGCACAGCAACTAGTACGTACCTCGCATACCAAATTTCAAGGCTTTCGGAGCTTGCTTTCTGTTCTGGGGATGGAGGTGGAGGTCTCCGGAGCGAGTTTAGCTTGGGGTGGTCGGGTGAAAAGGGACTGCCGTTGGGAGCTTGTGATAGAGGAAGAAGGGCTGTGTAGCCCAGTTCGAATGGGCTCCAAGCCCAAGAGATGTCCTCCGGAGAGATCTTATGACAAGAAAGCAAAAAAACAAAAGAAAATTAAATTAGGATTTTAAGTGATAGATTAAATTAGGAAATTAAATTAGGATTTTAGGAAATTATATTGAAGGGGTCCAGCGCTTGGGTTGGGATAGAGGAAGAAGAAATAGACTGAGGCGGGCTGTGTAGCCCAGTTCGGAAAATGGGCTCTTTGAGAGCTTACAATTATGTACCAAGCCCAAGAAATACATCTTGATGTCCTCTGGATCGATCTTCATATCTTCCCTGACAAGAACAAAAGCAAAAAAAAAAGGAAATTAAATTAGGATTTTAAGTGATAGATCTGAATGTATCAGCAAATAAAATTGGATGTATATATATCTGAATTTGAAATATTGAAGGGGAGAATTTCAAATCTTCCTCCAGCGCTAGTCGATAGAACCAATCTTCGATCTTCCCTGACAAAAGAACAACAACAACAAAATCAATAAAACATACCCCAAAAAAAAATTAATTAGGATTTGAAGCGGTAGATCTGAAAGTGTTACTACATAAAATTAGATATATAGATCTGAATTTGAAATATTGATGGTACAAATTTACCTTTCTTGATTTCATGAGATGAGAATAGGAGAAAACCACTGGAGGATTTCTTGGGAATTAAAAAAGGAATTCTTCCTTTCATTAGAGGCATGGCTTGAGATGAAGTTTTCTGAAGAGGAGGAGGAGATCTGAAATTCACGTGTGGATGGGGGGAGGGAGACTTAGACCACCAGTTTGCTAGGTCTGGTTTTAAAGCGGCGAAAATGATAATGTATGAGTTCTGAAACGAAATCTAAAATTAAAGTACTGTTCTGAGTTCTGACTCATATGTATGCTACTTATAGGGTGGAATATAAATTTTACCCTTAGATCCCTGTTACTGGTTTTTTACTCTAAAGAGATAACTTTGACCTCTTCTTCTTTTGTTCCGGCGGCAGCTTATAATTTAGTTTACTCTCTTTTTTTACAAGCTTATAATTTACTTCCTTTTTTTTCGGGGGGTGGGGGCGCGGGGGTCAATAAGCTTATAATTTACTTTAGTTATACATATCCACCCAATTATTTTTCAACTTTCATAAAAATTTAAAATATATTGTCATGTATACAAATATTTGTCCAGCTGGTATTATTACTTGTATTTGTTCAACGTTTCCATTTATTAGGAAACAATAATGCTAAATATGTCATTAAAATAATTAAAATAGTTATTGAGGTAATCAGAATCCATGAATTTAGGGATTCATTGACATTCAAATCTCATAATAATAGGAATGATAATCACATATTTCAACGTTTCCATTTATTAGGAAACAATAATGCTAAATATGTCATTAAAATAATTAAAATAGTTATTGAGGTAATCAGAATCCATGAATTTAGGGATTCATTGACATTCAAATCTCATAATAATAGGAATGATAATCACATATTTCAACGTTTCCATTTATTAGGAAACAATAATGCTAAATATGTCATTAAAATAATTAAAATAGTTATTGAGGTAATCAGAATCCATGAATTTAGGGATTCATTGACATTCAAATCTCATAATAATAGGAATGATAATCACATATTTCAACGTTTCCATTTATTAGGAAACAATAATGCTAAATATGTCATTAAAATAATTAAAATAGTTATTGAGGTAATCAGAATCCATGAATTTAGGGATTCATTGACATTCAAATCTCATAATAATAGGAATGATAATCACATATTTCAACGTTTCCATTTATTAGGAAACAATAATGCTAAATATGTCATTAAAATAATTACAATAGTTATTGAGGTAATTAGAATCCATGAATTTAGGGATTTATTGACATTCAAATCTCATAATAATAGGAATCATAATCACATATCTCCTATGAATTCAAATTTTCTCTAATTATCCTAAGTTTAGGGATTTTATTGATTCTAGCCTCTCCGCATGCGCTTCCGCGCCTGCGATAGGCTTTTTTTAAAAAATTTAAATTTATTTTAGAATTAAAAAAGATAATGGGTAGTTGTGTTCCATAAAAAGAGGATCCATTATCTGATTTTTTTAAAAATTTTTAATTTTGTTAATATGAAAAAGTGTGAATTTACCATTTTATCCTCATTTAATTAATAATTTCAATTCTTAATATTTACATTAACCAATGGCATTTTCTGGTATTTTGAATGTTTCACCATTCTCTGCCTTTTGTTTTATATATATAGATTCAAACATGAGACGACCAAAACGATGATTGCTTTTGTGTATGTAGCATAGTTATTGAATGTTGATTTTGTGTAGTAACTAATTTTACTAAAAACACATTTCAATATGAAAAGAAAAATAAAATAAACAAAACCTTGTGCATCGAAAAGTCATATAGGAACACAGACCAATAAGTCTGCATTTTTCAGAAGTTTTTTTTTTTTTAAATCGAAAAGAATTAAATTTCATTCACCGGAAGCACTGGTTACAATAAGGTCATCAAGAATGCAATTCATTAGCCACGCAGGGCCTTCTTCTAACCAGAAATAAGGAGCTTGTCCGTATAAAGCAAAACGGGCAATAGCATGAGCCACTTTGTTACACTCTCTAGGTCGAAATTGGACTTCCTTAATGGAAAATCGCATGAGCAAGTCTCTCACATCATCCACCATGTTGCCGACAGAAGCCCAATTAGTTTCCCTTGAATTAATCATCATAATCACCTCCGAAGAATCAGTTTAAATGAGGAGAGGGAAAAAACCCGCTTCTATAGCAAATAAAACTCCACTATAGACCGCTTGCAATTCTGTAGCTAGAATGGAAACCCCGCGAGGGCTATGCATAGCTAGGGCCCCCATAAAAACTCCAGAATTTGTTACAAACAACTGCACCTATACTACGCAAGCCTGTTGCGTTGTCAGTAGCTCCATCAACATTGAGCTTATAGACCTCGTCAGGGGGACAGCTCCAAAACTCATACTGATTAATCCTACAAGCACGTGATTGGTCAAGAGATTTGTAAAATTCTTCATGGAGCTCAAAACTCCTCTCAAGAAGATGGGTAGGATTATGCACACCTTGACCATGAAGATAATCATTTATAGCTTTCCACAACATCCAACAAATGAAAACAAACTGCTCTAACTCAATAGAAGACAAGATTGTTTTAGCACTCCCAAAGAAATCAATGAAGCTCAACATATGCCACTGCTCAACAGCAAATCCCAACCTTGAAAGCCTCCATACTTTCTTGCTTAATTTGCACTCCCATAAGGCATGGATAAGATATTCATTTGACTTGCCACAACGAAAACAGATACCTTTTGGGGTTACTTTTCTGCGCACCAAATTGACACAAGTTGGAAGGATATCATGAGTGGCACGCCACAAAAAATGCTTAATTTTATTAGGAATATGGAGGGTCCAAATCAATTTCCAATACGATGCCCTTTGAGCACCATTAGAACCATCAACACCACTATTGAGAGCACTAGTTTTCTTCTGCACAGCAACTTGATAACCAGATCGAACAGAATATTTTCCATTTTTAGTAAAAAACCAAATCTGCTGATCTGGACGTAGACTCCAACTCAAAGGGAGGCTTTGGATTAACTCAACCTCCTCTGGAAAAAAACATGACTGTAACAGACTAACATTCCAAGCAGGAGGAGAGGAAATAAATTCACAAACCTTAGAATTCACAGGCAGAGAAGGAGGTGAATATAGTTTAAAAGTAGACGGTTTGGGTATCCATTGATCTTTGTAAACATCAATCATCTTATCATCACCCACACGCCAATAAAGGCCTGCCTCTAATAGATCTCTTCCCCACAAAATAGAACTCCACGCGCAAGAAGGCGCTGAACCAAGAGTAGCATGCATGAAATCTGAGTTGGGGAAGTAACGCGCCTTAAGCATATGGAAAACAATGGAATCCTGGGATTGGAGCAACCGCCAAGCCTGTTTACAGACCATGGCTTGATTGAAGCATTCAAAATCCTTGAAACCAAGACCACCATCCTCCTTATGCGTATAGATGCTTTGCCATTTCCTCCAATAGATCCCTCTTTTATTTCCTTTGCTCCACCAAAATTTTGCAACCAAAGAGTTAAGATCTTTCCAAACACCGACAAGAAAGCAAAACACACTCATGGAATACGTTGGAACAGCTTGAGCCACGGCCTTTATAAGAATTTCTTTGCCTGTAGTAGAAAGCAAATTTCCTTGCTAAGATTGAAGACAATTCCAGACCTTATCCCTTATGCCACGAAATAATGCCCTCCTACTCCTGTCAGCTATGGTATGAAGTCCCAAATAGCGCTCATGACAGATCACTATTGGAACTCCAAGTAGAGATGAGATAGCTTGCTGCTCATTGACATCTACAGAAGGACTAAAAGATACAGCAGATTTAGTAAAATTAATTTTTTGCCCTAGGACTGCTCATAAGTGTCAAAAATATGTTTCAAATTCTGACATTCAGACATGTTAGCATCACAGAATAATAAGCTATCATCAGCAAAGAGCAAGTGAGTCATAGAAGGTGCTCCCCTGGGGATAGCCACTCCATGAATCAAAGGTTTTTCAGAAGTAATTAAGTCTATTGTTTGTACAGAAAAGATTAGATAAAAAGGTTGGATATGTTGTTTAGGCCCTTTGACAACACCACACGGCGCCTTCCACTTCTACTCCCTATGGTGGGGGGGGGGCGTACCTACTGTCTGTGAGAGAAGGCAGCCTTATATGACTAGATTATTTTATTTTTGTGGATAAATGATATGAAGATCCGAATTTGAATCTCATTACTCATTGTGAACTGCTAAAACCGGAATATATTTTGGTAAATAGTTGAGTGACTTGGATGAAAACAGAGTAACCTTTTCGTGGTACCAATTGGTCATCTCCAGTTTGAAAATAAATAAAGTAACCTTCTCTCTCCCAAATTCCATGGTATTGTATCGTGTTCCCAGCTATTTACTTGAAACTTTGTTAATCTCCTGTCTTGGATCTTGCCAAACTCTCCAAAGGCATCGATGGAGTTTCGAAAAGCTTAATTAATGAGTTGTTTATCTTTGATTAATTATCATTAGACTATAATAAAAGGAGGAACATTCTTGAGGCATAAGCCTTGTATAATAGATACAATATTATGTTATATTCCTTAATTATATGATGCACAGTATTATTATTATAAACTAGCTAGTCCTCTATTAAGTCACAAGTATTGACTACATTTGTATGATGTCAATCTCAAATATATCTCCATCCAAAATTGGTGCATGGTGTTCAATTTTATAGTACCAAGAAGAAGCACAAAATGAAAGTTTGTTTGGGTGTGATGTGCGTATGTGGCCATGTGGATTGTCAACCTAGTCACTAAATTCTACACCTGACCATGTTCTTATATATAAAAGCTATTGAGAAATTTGAGAATGGAATCATGGAGAGACAGAAACAGGTGTTTAAGTTGCATTTGAAAAGCGTCCAAAATGCGATCCATGACTTTATTTGCTTTTTTACTTACGCAAATTTAAGGCACAGCTGGAAAAAGAACAGGTCAAAAGTAAAAGTGATGAGAGCTCGGTTGAGTGAGTTTGACGAACAAGTTCTCGTGTAGGTGTAGCCCACAACCCAACAAAATAAACTGGATCGCTCACTAAATTACCATTCGTTTGTATAAAATAACTAAAGGCTGCCATTCTATTTCTTAAACCCTGATCCTGCAAAGGAATACAAGGTAAAATAAGATAAAGCATCCATTAGGTTCATTAACTGGTCATCAAATTCATTTAGGGGTGTATTCAATTGAAATTTAAAAAAATTATTTAGAGATAAAAAAGTCATGTGCTATTGGATTAAG